AACCTACTGCCAACATATTAAATAGGGAAAACCTGAAAGCTTTCCCTCTAAAATCAAGAACATAACAAGGATATGTACTATCACCATCACTGTTCAACTTAGTACTTGAAACATTAGCCAAAGGAGTGAAGCAAGAAAAGGAAATAAAAGAGATACATACAGGAAAGGAAATAAAAGAGATACATACAGGAAAGGAATTATTATTTGCAAATGACATTATCTTTTACACGGAAGATACAAATTTTCCAGCAAAAAACTCCTAGAACTTAACCAAATTCAGCAATGTAGCTGGATACAAAATGTGATGGCTGTGTCAACTTGAAAAGTTTAGTTATGAGAAGCTTAACTAAATCGACTCAGCAATCCCACACCCTACGGGAAATGAGGAAGGACTGAGCTGCTCCTGTTTACCAGTCTTCACCTTCACCTTGGATACTATGTCCTGGATTCTAGTGTAGACTCTTCAGCTTTCTGTCACAGATCCACTGACCTCCTGATACATGTGGAGGACCACTCGGAAGACTCTCCTTGGAAGAAGGGCAATTATCTCCATATTGGTTAAACTTGGCCCTATTTCCATGTACTGATATGTACAGAGCTGGCTAGGACCTTCTCTGATTCCTTCAATTGGCTTTAAGCAAGGCAAATTGGCCTAGCCGAGGTGTTCATGTGTATGTAGTTTTTGAAGCAGGGTGACAGGTCAGTGTTTCTCTGCCCCATAGCTCCCCAAAAACATGTGAGCTGGGTGGAATAGAGAGCCCAGAGATAAGAGGCTATGACTTCCCAGGGCATAGAAGATTACACATCATAGGTGAAGCAGTGGTCCCAAAACATGAGATACTATCTCAAACTGTGTTATGCAGATTACTCCTTCTGCATATCCTTCTCTCTGCATATTGTAGAGGTCAGGCCCCCTACCTAGCCCAGCTCATGGCACTCACGTATTTCCTGCTATTCTCACATTCATTCATCCTCAAGCCACTCCCTTCTTCACAAATTAATAAAAACTGGGTTTGGCCTTGGATCAAGGCCTTTGTTTCAGTTAGCCATCATCCTAGCTGGACTTAGGACTCCTTCACTCCCCATATTTACAAATATGCCTTAATGTCTTTATTCTTGCAATGGGTTGTACTGGAAGTGGTAGAGTGGAATTAACCAGTTAGAATTCCAATAATTTTTCCATAGGGTTAAAAATGTAAACTTCTTGGACCACAATGAGAACTGAGAAGGCCTTTCTTTAATACAGACCCGCATGGAACAGTACAGTGAGCTCCAGACCTTAGACTGAATCCTTTGTTCTCCAGGGTGCACACAGACCCTCTGCATACCTCCTCATCTGACTCTGTGGGTGGCCACTGTATGCCAATCTTGTTAATTCTTATATGTTTGTATATCTTGTGTTATATCTGTTTTCTAGTAAACAATGACTGATATATAAAATTAACATGTGAAAATCAACAGCATTCCTGTATAGCAGTAATAAACTCACTGAGAAAGAAATTAGGAAAACAGTGCCATTCACAATAGCATGAAGAAAATGAAATACTTAGGAATTAACCTAACTGAGGAAGTGAAAGACATCTACAATTAAACCGCCAGTACTCTGAAAAAAGTGATTGAAGACATCAGAAAACAGAAAGATGTCTGCTGTTCCTGGATAGGCAGAACTATACTGTCAAAATGGCTACACTTCCAAAACATATACAGATCTAATGCAATCCTAATCAAATCCTAACCAAATTACGAACAGTATTCTTCACAGAACTAATGAAAAAAATACTAAAATTCACATAAAATCGGAGGAGACCCAGAATAGCAAAAGTAATTCTGGGCACTAAGAGCAAAGTAGGAGGTATCACAATCCCAGATTTCAGGTTATATTACAAAGCTACAGTGATTAAAAAACACGGCACTGGCATAAAAACAGACATGTGGATCAGTCAAACAGAATATAGGATGCAGAAACAACCCCAGGCATATTCAACTACATCTCTGATAAAAGAGATCTGAAACATATACTTGAGGAAAGAGCTGCTTCAGCAAATGGTGCTAGGAAAACTACATGCAGAAGACTGAAGCTAGACCCATATCCTTCGCCATGTACTAAACTAAAACCAGAAGAATAAAAAAATCTAAGTATTAAAACAGAAACAACTGGATAAAATGGGGAAAACCCTTGAAGACACAGGCATAGGCAAGGACTTTCTGAGAAAAAAAATAGCATGAAGAATCAATAAATGGGGTTAATGGTATTATATCAATTAAAAAGCTACTACAGAGAAAAAGAACCAATAGAATGAAGAGACAACCTAGAGAATGGGAAAAATTTTTACGTGCTACACCTTACATAGAGGACTATATCTAGAATATATAAACAGCTAAAAAAAAAAAAAAAAAATCCCTCAAAATAAAGGCCTAACTAAAAAATGGGTAACTGAAATGAACAGACACTTCTCAGGAAAAGTACTAACGGCCAATACATGAGAAAACATTCAGGTTCTCTGGCCATTAAGGAAATGGAAGTTAATACTGAGATTCCATCGCACTCCAGAAAGAACAGCTATCACTGGACATCAAATAATGAATTTGGGCAAGGCTACAGGAAAAAAAGAACATTTCTATACTGCTGGTGGGAATGTCAACTAGTGTAGCCACTATGGAAATCAGTATGGAAATGTCTCCAAAAATTAGAAATAGGAATGTTACTCAATCCAACTCTTCACCTTGTTGTTTTCTTCTCAGAAGAGTTAAAGACATCATACAAGCCACGCGTGGTGGTGCATGCCTGTAGTCCCAGCACTCAGGAGGCTGAGGCAGGAGGATCGCTGCAAAGTTCAAGACCAGCCTGGGCTACAAAGTGAGCTCAAGGCCAGCCTGAACTGTGTAGTGAGACCCTGTCTCAAAAAGAAGACATCATCGTACAATAACACACACATACCCATTTTATGGCAGCACAACTCACTGTAGTTAAATGTTGGAATGGACCTACATGTATATCAACAGGTAAATGGACAAAAAATGTGGTATTTACACACAACAAAGTACTACTCCACTATAAAGGATAAGCTTAAGTCATTTGTAGGAAAATAATGCACCTTGAGACCATCATGCTAAGTGAAATAAATTGGGACAAGGAAGCTTAAATATTGCATGTTTTCTCTTATATAAGAAACCCAAAGTATACATAAAGAGTGAAGTAAAAGACAGAGAACAGGGAACAAGGAGACAGATTTTTTGCAAATGGGGACAGTACCAAGAGTGGGAGGGAGGGAGAGTGGAGGGAGGGGAAGGGGATGTAAAAAGAACTATGTGTTATATACATGCACCAACTCCCCATGATGAGTATAATTATTATATACTCCAAATATGTCCTAATAAAAATAAAATTTAATAAAGAAACCAAGTTTTTCCTAATTAAACACACATAAACAGTTCAAATAAAGTTTACTAAGCACCTTTTTGTCTTTGGTTTTCTTTTTCAGTATGGGGGGATCAAAGCCAGGGCCTCACACATGCTAGGCAAGTGCTCTAACACTGAGTTGCATCTCTGGTTCTTTTTAAAATTTTACTTTGAAGGCAGGGTGTGGTGGCACACACCTGTAAATTCACCACTCCAGAGGCTGAGGCAGGAAGATGTCCACAAGTTCGAGACCAGGCTGGGCTACATAGTGAGTTCAGGGCCAGCCTGAACTACATAGCGAGACCCTGTCTCAAAAAAAACAAAACAAAACAAAAATTTTACTTTGAGACAGCATCTTGCTATTGCCCAGGCTGGCCTTAAACTTCTGATTCTCCTGCTTTATTCTTCTGAGTAGCTGGGATCACAGGTGTAGACTATCACACCAGCCAGCCTAAAGCGCTAGGAACTATGGTAAATCACAAGCAACTGTGGTAAAGGCAGGGCGTATGGACAACAAGATGAATATACATCAATTTCAGCTAACTACGTAGTGATATCTGGCCCCCTTCAGTGTGATAATAGAATGTACAGTGTAGTATAAGATGCCTCTGAAATGCAAAGAGGAAAGCTATCCTCTCTACTGGAAGAGCTACTAACAGCCTCTTCAGTTGGATTTCAAAGGCTATGTAAGAGTTCTTCCATTGTGCTGGGGGCAGTGGTGCATGCCTATAATCCCAGCACTCAGGAGACTGAGGCAGGAGAATTGCTTTGAGTTTGAGGTCACCCTGGGCTACATAGCAATACCTTGTGTCAAAAAAAAGAAAAAAAAAAGAGTTCTTCCATTAAAGCACATAGAGGAGCTAAAGCCATGATGTTGAGATACACAAATACGTGAAGTCAGTATTATTTTTCCTTTTAATTACTAAAGCAAAATGTACTTGTAAAATATATAAAATCTGCCAGGACATGGTGGTGTATGCCTGTAATCCTAACACTCTGGGAGGCTAATGCAGGAGGATTGCAAGCTGGAGTTTAGCTTGGACAAATCAGTGACTTAGCCAGACCCTCAAGAAAAAAGAAAAAAAAGAAAAGGAAGGAGGGAAGCAGGGAGGGAGGGAAGGAGGGAGGGAGGGAAAGAGGGAAGGAAGAAAGGAAGGAAGGAAGCAAGGGTTGGCCAAGTAGTTCGGTACCAAGGCCCTGGATTCAATCCCCAGTACATGCCCCCAAAACCCAACTGAGCCAATTTTCTCACTTTTACCCTGGGACAAACACTATAATAAATTCTAAAACCTTTTCATTACACACACACACACACACGCAGTAGATGTCTGTATTTATAAAAAGCTTTTCACAAAAATGGAATCACACACGAAACACGATTCTGCAACATGATTGTTTTTCTTTTGACAGTACTTTTCCGGCAGCATTCCATGTCTTCACACACAAAAAAGGAATCTTCTGGACCATTTACTAGAATCACAAGACAGCCTGATTATGAAACTGTCATTTGCTTCCACATGCATGCGTATACATACATATACACATACACACGAAAAAATAAACCACCATCCTATTGTATCTGAGATGTGTTATATCCTACCTGACAAGGAAATTTCTTCACCTCTTTTCATTCCCAATCTTTTATAAATTTCTCTCTCAGGATCCACATAGATTTCATGGGAATATCCAGTCAGTTTGCAGAATGGCTGAAGAAAGAATAGTAAGAACTTTTATAAGAACAAATGAAAAAAGAGCAATAAGAGCTACCTTCAGCCAATGGTTCAAATAATGCAATTTTTCTATATGAAACAGATTTGACCTGTTAGAGCCCCTACTTCCTAAATATTTACCTCAATATGATGGTAAGATGATTGTCCAATCACTATAAGGGTGACATTTGCTTCCTTTGGGAAAAAAAGAACACATAGGTATTACATAATACATTTTACACAATTTCCCCTAATGTGACACTCATTTCACTCTAACGCCACCTCTAGGCTCCTAGGAGAATGGAACGAACGGCAAAATTGTGAATCAAAGGTTTCCTAAAATGTTTAATTCACTTGATTCTTTTCCTAAGTAAGAAGTGCTAACTCTTAAACATTAAGAACTGAATCTGTAAAACTACTAAAAGAAAATGTAAGAGAAAAAGCTCTGTGTCTTTTGTTCAGGTAATGAGTTCTTGGACGTGACCCCGGAAACCTAGGCAATAGAAACAAAAACTAACAAATGAGATTGCATCAAACTAAACAGCTTGTGACCAGCAAAGGAAACAACAGAATTAAGAGACAGCTCTCGGACTGGGAAAAAGTACCTCCAAAACGCACATCTGGAAAGAGTCTAAAACCCCAAAACTGTAAGGACTTGATGTCATGGCAAGAAAACAAATAACCTGATTTAAAAATGGACAGAAGTGGGCTAGGGATGTGCGTCAGTGATAGAGCACTTACTTGCCTGTCGTGCCTGGGCTTTTGGGCTCAATCTCCAGCATTGCAAAAAAAAAAAAAGACAAGCAAAACAAAAACAGGAATCCCGTGAGAGACCTGAATAGACATTTCTCAAGAGATAACATACAAATAGCCAACAAATTTATGACAAAATGCTCACCAGCACTAGTCACTAGCTATTAATCAAAAAACCAAAACACATGTTAGCGAGTATGTGGAGAAAGAACTCTTGCCCATTGTAGGTGGGAATGTAAGTTAGTACTGCCACGATGAAAAAACAGCGTGCGGTGAAAATATCACTACATGATTTAGCAATCCCACCACTGGGAAGGAAATGAAATCAATCTGTCAAAGAGATATCTGTACTCGCATGGTCACTGTAGCACTATTGACACTAGCCAGGATGTGGAAGTAGAAATCCAGGGTCCATCAAGGGATGAATGGATAAAGAAAATGTGGTACCACAATGGAACAGTCAGCCACGAAAAAAGGAAACTGTTTTTTCATTTGTGACAACATGAATGAACCCGGAGGACGCTATGCTAACAGAAATAAATCAGGCCCAGCAAGATGAGTAGAGCATGACCTCACTCAGTAAATGGAATCAGAAAGTAGAGAGGACAGATGAAAAGCGATGGAGAATGAGGAGATGTTTAAAGGGTACAAGTTTCCAGTTAAGAAGAAAACGTTTTAAAAATCTAAGGCACAGCAAGTTGACCACAGTTAATAATAATGTTTGGGGGCTGGGGATTTAGCTCAGCGGCACAGCGCCTGCCTGGCAAGCACGAGGTCTTGAGTTCGATTCCCGGTACCGGAAAAAAGCCCAAAAAAAAACAAAATCAAAAAAACAAAAAAAAATGTTTAGATACTTTAATATTGCTAATAGTTTTTAAATGTTCTTTAAAAACACACACATAAAAAAAAAACTAAAAAAGCAGAGCTACTTAATCAATTTTATTTTTTCCCACCCTAATTGATAAGATCTGCACAAAGTAGATGAGTTTTACCCAGGCTGACCAATCCCTTCACTCAAAAAGCCCCCCTAGGGCTGAGGGTGTAGCTCAGGGGTGGAGAGCTTTCGGGGCTCTGGGTTCGAGCTCCAGCACAGAAAAACACCCAATACAGTTAAACAAAAAGCTCAACCGGGGCCAGACCCATCTATGCCTGAAGAAAGAAAAAAACAAACAAGGCACAGGGAAGTTGGAACAATTTAATTGAGAAATATAAACTGGCACCCTTAAGGTATATCAGCGTGTTATAATGAACAATTATTTGGAGGAGGGTAACACAAAACAAGGGAGTGCCAATGTTCTCCAGCAGCTGTTTTTGGGCATTACTACCTGACGTTTGAGAATAGAGAGATTACCAGATAAGAGCAAAGCGTTAAAGTTATTATGATCTCTACTATCTTTTGGTACTGGGGAATGAAACAGGGTGCTCCCACTGCGCCACATCCCCAACCCTTTTCATTTTCAGGCAGCGACTCGCTAAATCACTAAACTGCCCAGTTTGGGCTTGAACTTGGGATCCTCCTGCCTCAGTTTCCCGGGGAATAGCCCGTTTAGAAACAGGCAGGGACGAGTAAGTCAGTTGGGAAACAGGTGTATCCCGTGTCTGTCCCTCGCGGAGACGCACGGCTGTGCCAGGAGGGGACACTGCGCTGTGGGGGCGCACACGCTCCCCGCTGCGCCCTCGGCAAACTTGCCTCTAAGAAGCTCTTGGGGATCTTGGCCAGGTCTTCCACGTACTCCTTGCAGACGTAGCAGAGGAAATGCCGCACAAACACCACCACGGCGCGGCGCTCCCGGAACAGCGCCCCGAACTGCACCCGCCGCCCGCGCGCGTCCAGCACGGGAAGCTCGGCCACGCCCGCCGCCAGGGTCAGCCCCTCCGGGCCGGTCGGGACCGGGCCGGGCACGGCGCCTGCGCGGACCTGCCGCGTGACGGGCGCCGCCATCCCCGCCGGACTGCCGGGCTCCCGGGCCGATCCGGCCCAAGGCGGGACGCACGCACGCGCGCACGCACGCACCGACGACGACGACGACGTCAGAGAGTCGCAGAGGGAAGCCGCGCGCGGGGCGGGGCGGGCCTCGGAAGGGGCGGAGCCGAGGACGAGGGGGCGTGCCCCGGAGGGCGGTGCTAGTAGGAGGCGGGGCTGGGTTTGGGTCAGGTGAGTGTGTGTGTGTGTGAGTGTGTGTGTGTGTGTGTGTGAGAGAGAGAGAGAGAGAGAGAGAGAGAGAGAGAGAGAGAGAGGCAGACAGACAGACAGACAGACAGACAGAGACACAGAGAGACAGAGAGACAGAGAGAGATGGGGCGGGGCCTGGGGCGGGATCCTGGAGGTCAGCAGTACCGGCAGAGCTTCCTGCAGTACTGGACTTTCGTTTAAACATGTGCAAAATATTGAAGCAATTTTACGGTGGACATTTCTTCTTTGTCTTTTTGAGACAGAGTCTCGCTTTGCAGTTCAGGCTGGCCTTGTGCTCACTTTGTAGCCCAGGCTGGTCTTGAACTTTGCAACGATCCTCCTGCCTCAGCCTCCCGAGTGCCGGGATTACGGGCCTTCGCTACCACACCAAGCGGTGGACACTTCTTTATCCACCACCTCGGTTCTGTCCTTAACGTTTACTCTATCATGTTATCCTTCTGCTCACAATTACATGTCTTTTGACTTACTCATCTGCCATCCACATCCCTACTGAGATGTAACATTTTCATCACTCCAGAAAATTCTCACAATGCTACCTTTGTTTGTTCTGCTTTGTTTTTCGTGACAGGGTCTCGCTGGGTAGTCCAGGCTAGCCTCAAACTCACAGCAATTCTCCTGTCTCAGCCTCCTGAATGCTGGGATCATGGGCAAGCGCCTCCACATCCGGCTGTACTTTTGACCAGTGAGCATGATGAATCTCTCTTAGAAGCATTGCAGGAGTCCATGTCTTATTTTGAAAATGTTTCTAGCCAAGGCTATTTATCAGACTCTTCAGGTGAGATCATCCACCAGTGTAGGGAGGAGTCTACAGTGATGAGGGTGTGCATGTCCATGAGTGTGTGTGTGGTTTAGTGCTGGGGCTCGAACCCAAAGCTTTTGCACTGAACTACATGTCCAATCCTTTTGGTCTTGCTAAATTGTCCAGACTGCTTTGAACTTGTGATTATCCTGCCTCAGCCTTGCAGAGTGCAGGGATTATGGGTGTATGCCACCACACATGGTTTAGGGTTAATTTTTTTTTTTTTTTTTGCCCTGCTGGGGATTGAGCTCAGGGCCTCTTGCGGGCTAGTCAGCTGCTCCTCCATTGAGCCACAACCCCCCTGTACACTACCTTTGCATTGGTTTTGTAGAAATCCCACACTTTCTGTGTTTGTCCACCTCAAAACTTCAAAGGCAGCATGCTAGTCAGACACTGAACAGTGTCACCCTGCCAGCAAGGACAGGAGAGGTGCATTCAGCATCTGCTGGCTTTCCTGGATGTAGAGATTTGTGCTCCTGGGTGAACTGTGCTCACCTCGCAGTGAGTTCACAAAGTTTTAAGCATGGATCTGTTCCAAAATCTCCTCCTCAGTGCCCTGAGCGCCTATAGTGAATGTGTGGGCCGGGGTGGGGGTGTGGGGAGGCACCGTGAGGTATTTTACATATTTTCAGAAAACAGAAGGTTCATTTGTCAAAAATCTTGAATGTGAACTGTGGTTCACTTTTAAAATTCGACCACTCACTACATTTATTTTGTAAAGTTGGGTTTTGAACAGCTGTGATAAAACCACACAGAAATTAGTGAAAAACAGGAAACGAGGGCAGCGGTGTCTAATCTGGTAATTGTGGTTATTAGGAAGGATATAAAAATATTAGTTTTCTTTAATTTAGGAGTTCCACATTTCCCACCTTCCTTCCTACCTTATGTCCTCCTTGCCGTCCTTCTTCCCTTCCTACACGCCCGTTTTGGTGCTGGGGATTGAACCCTGGGCCTCGTGTACATGAGGCACATGCCGTACCAGAGGCTCCCCTCCTCCAGTAAATACTGTATCTTCAAATAATGGCTAAGTTGTCGAGATATAAGTGCTCACTCTGTCATTTGGATCTAACTTAATAAAGGTGGTTGCTAGGTACTGTATTTCTTTTCGCCTATGGGTACGCTAGCTGTAAACTACTGCTTGTCCCAGAGTAAAGATCTCTGTCTCTCTCCCACCCCTTTCCCACCTTCAAATAAATCTTCTGATTTTATTTTTTAAAAAACCAGAAACTTCAATCTACCAAAGCCTGGTACATAGAAATGTACCAGAATGGCCAAATAAATGAATGAAGTTCTTTTTGCTTTTAGGTTTTCCTCTTGCACTTCCCCCCTCTACCTGTCCTGCTCTTTCTCGCTCTGCCTTTCATTTTTCTTTCTTGCTCCACTACTGCCTGCATATGCTGCTATCACTTTGCTGAGTTCTGTGGCTGTTCCTCAGTCTGAAAATAGAGCATCACTGAGATAGTCATCTCTGCTGCTGTCACTAATGAGGCCTGGCTTTCCTAAGACAAGTAATGGAGCTCCAGGAGGTTAATTGACCAAGAAGTTACTGAGGTTGAAGGGATGTCAGTGCCTCACCCATGCCAGGGAACTGGTCTACTACTGAGCTACATCATTAGATCTCAACCTTAATTTACAATGCCTAATTTTTTGAGTGATACAAATTTATTGAACTTCTGTCAAATGTTTATTTTGCCTCTGTTGAGATGGTCACATGATTCTTATCTTTCATTCTGTTATGGTGCTACACTACATGCAGTGTTTTTTTTGTATGCTGGATCATCCTAGCACCCTGTTAAGGCTTATATCTAGATGTCCCCCTAAAGCCTCATGCAGTCATAGGTGGGGCTTTTGGAGGTGGCTGGATCTAGGGTGTGTGTGATGCTGGGATCAAGGATGTGATACTTGGATTAAGGTGTAGGTAGGTGCTACTTGCCTTAAGGAAGGGTAGCTTGGATAAGATACAAAGAACATAAAGAGGGTCCTTGCCTGCTGTCTTCTGCCTGCCCTGGTTTGCCATGGAGTGTTTCTTCACTGTGATGCCCCTTTGCATCCACCCTGCCTTGGAGCCAGCCAACTAAGGACTGAAACCTCTACAAAGTGAGCCAAAATAAGCCTCTCCTCCTTTAACTTTAGGTGTCAGGTATTTTTTCTCAGCAATGAGAAAAGTAACTAAGACATATCCTAAGGATAAAACCTGCTTTGTAATGGTGTATGATCTTTTTAATGTTCTTATTTTGCTATTCAAAGTAATACTGAGTCATATCCTTATGCATACACCTGTTCTGCACAAAAAGAGGCCTCTAACTGGTGGACATGGAATGTCTGCATGAGTGGATAGATAGCACACTTAGTGTGGCACAGGAGGTCTAGAGAGTTCCTGTTTCTCTGTCCTCTGGCCACTATGGGTATTATTAATGAAGACAACTTCAAATGGTATTTATGGTATTTCAAAACCTCTCATTCTTTGTGAGGCTGATGTGGGCCTTATCCTGACATGTTTCCATGCACTCTCTTGTTTGAGGCTCCTCAATTTCAGATATTAAGGCAAGGAGACGGTGTGTTTACACAGAAGACCCTTCGCCAGGGGATCTCAGAACCAAAGCATTTGGCGGATAAGGAGCTTCTTGAATTTTAGAAGAAAGCATTGACAGGAGGCAGTTCGTCAGTTGTAACCAATTTGATTATAACCATCGTTCTAGTTAAGCAGAAACTGATGTGCAAATAAGATGCTGATATTCTGACAGTTCTAATTTATCACCAATACCAATGCATGACTGCTGTGTTAGCTTTCATGTGGAATAGATTATTTCATTTTAAATATAAAGAGCTGCATGGTTTCGTCGCTGTTTTAGCAGAGCAGTGAACTCTGGCATCATTAGGAAGTGATTTTGGAGGAGGGACAGGATCTCTGTGGGAATGCAGAAATTAGATGGTGTAGTCTAAGGAGCATCAACAACACATAGCTGAAGGAGAACCTGAGAAATAAAGTGCCTGGGACAGTTACCCGTTTAGTGCTTCTCAGCTCCAAATTAACCCTTCAAAATATGCTCTGTGCTGGTGGACAGATTTCCCTTCAGCATCTCACCCTGACAATAAGCACTGTGCTAAGTATTTTCCTTATGTGACACTGCAGGGGAAAGGGGCCCTCAAACTGCCTCTGCTTTTAGGTCAGTGGCTTGAGTGTGAGGTCCCCGGGTTGCACTCTGTCACTGCACATGCCTAGGTTGCTTCCCCAGCACTCTGCAGCCCGGGCTCCTCGCCTGATGGAAACCAGCTCTCCATAGCCCTCAGGCCTCTGGCTCCGCCCTGTGCCCTAGAAGGTTCCCGAGCGACCATTCTCTGTCGGGTGGCCTGTGTCAGCTGCATACTTGTGCTGCTGGATGCTGTTGCTGGTGTCCTCCATGCAGTTGGCTGCGTGGCTTCCTGTCTCCCACTGACTGCCCCCAGATCAGGCCCGGACCTCTCAGCTGTCCCCCAGGTTGTGTGACAACAGGTCCCTGGAGACAAGAACCCAGGTTTGAGGAAGGGGTTCTTTCTAAGTTTAGCTTCCTTGTGTACGTGCCCTTAGCTGTAGTTTTCTTTTTTATATATGCTAGTCATTCTTTAACCAGTGTTTAATAATTCATTATGTTCAGTTCTCTCTGCTTAACCTACAGTGTGATTTCAGGCTCATTACTGGACCCAGACTAATACAGGGTCTTTAGATGTGAGATCAAGGAAGTGTAACTGTGAGCTGTTGTCTTTTTTTTGAGATAGGGTCTCACTATGTAGTTCAGGGTGGCTTTTAGATCACCATGTAGGCCAGGCTGTCCTCAGTCTCATGGTGATCTGGCTGCCTCAGTCTCCTGAGTGCTGGGATTACAGGCATGTGCCACCAATTCTGGCAAGCTGTTGTCATGTCCATCCTATTATTTAGGAATGACTTGCTAATATTTGGGGGGGGTGTATTGGTTTGGGGCTTATTTTGCAAGGGGAACAACATAATACAGGACACATACTTTATATGATTATTTATAAGTCACCCAAAGA